AATGTGTTGTATTCTCCTTACCCTTTCTCTCTTCCAACATCAAGGCCTGCAAGAGCTCAGCTTCGTCCTGGAGACGACCGGTCCTCCGCGGGGCTGGCTGTCCTCCACACGGACACTGCAGTTGTCCGGCCGTGTTCCGTCGTCATGGGGACAGGGACACAGAGGATGTCCAGACCATGTCCTTCTCATCGTGGGAACAGGGACGTGTCGTCCACATGGACACAGAGGTTGTCCGGGCCGTGTCCCGTCATCGTGAGGATGGGGATGTGTCGTCCACAGGGACACTGAGGAGGTCTGGCTGAGCGCTTTGTCCCGTCATCATGGAAACGGGGACGTGTTGTCCACACAGACACTGCCGTTGTCCAGGTTGTGTTCCGTCATCATGGGGGATAGGCGGCGTCCCGTCCACACTAACACAAGGGTCACCAGCCGTTTCCACACAGCCCAGGGCTGAGTTCTGACGCCCCGAGGCTTCTGAGGAGAACTGGTGGTCTCCAATCTTCTGGCGTCAGCACACGGTGGCCTGAGGGGAGTCCCAGGACAGCCGCCTGTGGGCTGGCGCGCCGCCTGCATGTCTGCAGGATGGCTAAGGCCTCTGCGGCTGGCAGGCGGCTGTGGTGATGGCTGGCGTCCTCTCACCCTGAAGGAAGATCCTCAGGTGGAGAGCGCCAGGGCGAGGGAGAGAGCGTGAGGGGCGGGGCGGAATGCCGGGGGCGGGGCGGAGAACCTCGGGGCGGGGCGGAGTGCCGGGGGCGGGGCGGAGAACCTCCGGGAGAGGCGGAGTGCGGGGGGCGGGGCGGGGCACCTCGGGGAGAGGCAGTATGGAGACCCGCAGGATTGAGGGTGGAGGGCTGGTGGAGACCATGCTCTCTTCCTCCTGTCTGCCGCTGGGCCAGGCTGGGGCTCTCCTGGCACCTGCTGTTATTGCAGCAGGGTCGGCTGAGATGTGTCTGCCAGTGCTGATGCAGTTCCTTAAGTACACCTGAGAACCTGGCAAAGGAGTTGGTTTTAAACTGCTCTACGTAGAAGAGGGAAGAGGGATTGGATGGACTCAATAAACCGATTCTTCAATTTCACCTGAATTTAATTTCCTGTGCATCACCCAGGTGTGACCTGGAAAACTAGCGTAACCTTTTTGTTTTGAGTTTCTTACGTCAAGTGGTTATGGTAAAAAAATGAGAAAATATGTGTAAAAGTAAACAGCACATTGCTTGACACATAAAAAACACTGAAAAGTCATAATTATTATTCATTAATGTCTTAGAAATTAGGAGGGGTAGAGCAAAGAGGAAAAGAGGCAGGGTAGTATAGGAAGAATGTTGCTATTCTCATAATCAAATCCACTATAATTCAAGTTCCTTATTTGGGGATCCAAATACCCCAATTCTTCAACCCATGAGTGGAAAACACTTATGTAACATTGTGATGGTAACCTACTTACTTTTGAGTTCCAGCAACTGCACATCTACATAAATATATAGTTTAAAACTTTCCACCTACAGAAAAGATAAAATTCACCAAGCCAAGAGAATTGTTTAAGACTCTGCAGTGCCCAATAACTCTTTCTGCATCCAAGGAATTAAACTCATTATGAAAGCCTTGATCCCCTTTAATACTATTAGAGAAGTTCAAATTTCTCTCCTGCCACAAGTTCCTCCCGCTGAGCAGCTGAAGCTGATTGAAGTCAATGGGAGTTGGGGATCAGTAAACAGATGGGAGCTTTTGCTCTCAGATCAAGTAACTTCTGTATTCTCTCCACATGAGCAGTTTTTTCTCTTCTTTCATTTTAAGACAGAGGCACTGTACACTGGTGAGGCATTTCTTTACACAACATCTGTGATGAATTTTTGGAAAACTCATTGGGATTTCAAACACACAGCCTGCATATTCAGCCATTAGGTCATCTGCCAAAAATAATAAGAGTTCCCTTTCCACAGAAAGAATGAACCAATGAATTTTCAGGTTTCTACCATTTACTTTACTGTGATGTAGCTGGTCTCTTTTTGCTACTCCATTTCTATTCTCAAGAAGTCTGCTTTTTAAAGTTTTTATCAAATAGTAAAAGACTCAAATAGAATACCACTGAAGAAAAAAAAGAGTACAGCATAATGGAACCATCACCAACTCCCGATGTGTAAATCCAGGCTTAGTCTTTGTCTTACCTCTTCATCATCTTTCAGGATACAGAGAAAGACATGTATACTCATACTTCCCAAGATTATGTCAAAGACAATAATCACTTGGATGATTTTCTCCTCATTTGAATGGAAGTTTCAGAAATGTTCTATATTGCTGCCAAACAATCATCATAACTGAGCAAAACTGAACTATTCAAAATAGCCAAAATATAAGATGTAATGGGTAAATTAAACTGAATTTTGATCCCTGTAGGCAAAGGGAATGCACTTATTACTTGTCTGGAAAGGGACAAAGGAGAAGAAAAAATCGGTAGGCACAAATATTTCAGGATATATTTCCAAAGCACAGGATTTTGCAAATGCTCAAATTGTGATACAAATATGAAATGCGCAGTTTATCTTTAATAATGATTGGTCTATTTTCTTTCCTTTTTTTAATCCTGAAGGAAGGAGAATTAAGATGCTTTTCATGAACAGAACCAGCTGTGGTTTGATCTATCATCCCATATATCCCAACAATGAGAAATACATCTTACTTGATTGATGAGAATAATATACTAGTCTCTTGAAGGAAACAAATGTCTACTGAAATTAGATAATGACCTATCCTACCATCATGCTGCAGAGAGTCCTGGGCAGGATGACCCTCTGAGAGGCTTGAGGATCTGAGAGTGGAGAGGACCTTACCCTGCTTCCCAAACCAGGTTCAAGAGCTGCACTGGGTGTCTTCATATGACATGCAATGAGATATGTGTATGCTGAGACTGGCCCAAGTGCATATACATGTTTCCATTTGTTTTCACGAGAGAGCAGCTTGCATTTTTTCATGCCTCCAAGAAAGCTGTAACTGTTAGCTGAGAAAGAGAGGGTGGAAGAGAGAGAGAGAAGATATCTGAAAGTATCTTGGACCATACATAACCAGAGGGACCATAGGGGGAGTGACCTAGACCATACAGGGCGAGGACCTGATCAGAGACTGTGTCCACATGGGCAGGTACCAGTACAGGAAGACACATAGGTCAGGTGACCCCATCTGACACCACCCAGCTAAATGAATGTGAAAGAAGGGACAATCACTAACTGGATTTAAATGTCACTAAACACAATCTAGTGCACTTGCACCAAAATCACATTGTCTGACACCAGGCAGAAGAGGCACTCTATAAAATTTGAGAGAAAAATAAATACTTATTTTGCACAACTGGGTACATAATTTATAAAACTAAAACATTCTTGGACCAGAAGAAATCTTAAAAGTCTGCTCCAAACTTTTCATTTAGCCAATAAAGAAGCAAAAATTGGCGCACATGCAATGCTCAGTCGGTTAAACATCCAACTTTGGATTTCAGCTCAGGTCACGATCTCATTGTTTGTGCGTTCGTGCCCAGCATCAGGCTTGGGCTGACAGCTCAGAACCTGGAGCCTGTTTCAGATTCTGTGTCTTCCTCTCTCTCTGCCCCAGCCCCTTCTCAAAATAAATAAGTAAATATTAAAAAACTAAGAAGCAAAAGTCTGGTGAAGTTAGGAGATTTGCACAAACTTCCCCCCCAGAGTTAGTGGCGAGGTCAGACCCAGAACTCAGTGTCCTCTTTCCCACTTCAGACTTCTTTCTTATATATCAGGCTGCCTCACTGTCTCTCTAAAACCTGTATTTGTATTACTACAATACAATTCTCATTTCAAAATAGAGGCCGCTTTATGTGAACTGTGAACATACTCATGCAGCCTGGACAGGTAGGCAACATGGCATGCCAGCTTATTATTCTTGCTTTCAGTGAATGTTAAAAATACGCCATCTGGAAGTTAGAAACGATTTTCGTTTCTGGGCTTGCTAGAGGCAAGGAAAAGAACCCTTTATTATTATCACAACTCAGAACAGGTGGTTAAAACCACTTTTGAATATTTTATTACCAACATGTCTAATATTGGTAGAAAATCAATCTAGAGTAAATATGACTTTTAAGTTTATTTTGTCTGAAATGACAAATAGAATTTGCAAAACTGCAAATTTTAACTAGAAAGAAATCATAACAGATATTCTATTCCAGACACTTTTTAAATTTTTGAGTTTTTTAAATATAAATGCATTGATATATGCCATTTCAAAGCTTTATTATTAAACCGATTGCACCAGGCAAGAGTGAAAAAAAACTTTCTGTGTCCTTCTGATTATCTGTTACAATTACATTCCTTTTGTCACCAAAGCAGAAGTGCAAGCATGTGCAAAATCCTATAAATTTTGCTCATTTTTGTGTACTTTATGTCATGCTAATTTTGGTAAGTTTTCTGATCTCATAACCTTCATTTCCTAACACCAAATCTGACATTTTTCCTATTTTTAAGCTTCATATACTTCACATGTACTATTATAAGCCATTCTTTCCTAAAATTGTTAAATGGATATTTTTCTTCTGTAGTCATTATCATTTGATTTAATTCTCTTTTGGGATATTTATAGATGTCACCTATTTTTCTAGCCACAGGAACCATAAATAACATTGAACAGAAATTAGTACTGCATATGCAAAATAATTTTTATATCCATCAGTACATTTGATATTCAAAGCAATCTAGTGAGGTAGAAATCATTAAAAATTGAGGATAACAGCAGTAACAGTGGAGTGATATTGATAGGCAAGTTTATTTATAATTCTCAATTTAAGATGATTTTTTTTAAAAAGCTCAAGGAGTTTAAATTACCAAGGTCAATAGCTGGTGTTCCATATATATTTCCATATAGATTTCAACTCAAATGTGTACAGAGATATTATTTTAGAATGAAATCATCTTCAGAATAAACTTAAGAAAAATACTTAACAAATGTAAAATGATTAAAAAAATATTCAAGGTGACATTATTCTATCATGGAGAGAAAAAAAGCCAGCCTTAACCATATTTCCTAGAATATCTGCCACAACTTCTCTGACTCCTGCTGAGAGGCTAAGAGAAATAATACCACAGGCATCAGAGAGAAATTTTGCACAGCCTGCCATCCCTGTCTTTTCTCATGAGAGTGACATGGTGATGCCAGATGTTCTAATGAAAGAGATGAAGTCAATAGTCCCAGGAGCTAAAACTCTCCTGAGTGTAGGTTCTAATACAGACAGATATTTGCATGTAGAGACAGTTGCCAGAGCCCAGTGGTTAGATTTGAGGATATTTAACTTTTCTGCATCTGTAGTTCAAAAGAAGCGTGTATCAGGATCCTTTTCTCGGGTAAGATGCACAGGTACATCAGGGCCAAAGCTTCCCTGCAGAACACAAGCACACAACAAAAATAAATCTTATTTAAAGACATCGGAGAACTGTAAATGCAACAATGCTCCAATGGACCGAAATTCAAGAAAGGAAAGACTTTCCTGTCACTTTCCCTCCTTTATTTTATTCATGATTTATCACCACCCACATTATATAGGGCAGTCACTTAGCAGAAACCCACAGCTAAATACTTCAGAAAAAATTCAGATGTTTTCTACATTTAGAAAAGCAATACAGTGTATATACACTCTACTTCCATTCTGCTCCCGACAGGACCTGGGACAGTGACCCCAGATCGAGCCTATTGATATTTCTGTAAATAAAGATATGAATATTCATTCTAATTTTGATGAACAAAGATCATACACAGTTTTTGTTAATTCAGGTCAGGAGACTCCAGGGGAATTATGACAAAACTTCAGATTTTCAGGAATTTTTTAATTTCAGAATTGTGCCATAGTAAGTGCAGGGATTTATTATATTTTTATTGTTGTTATTAATTGTCTGTCCCCTTAAAATGAAGGTCCTGGGGGTCAGGGACCCTTTGAATATGAATCGCTGCAGCCCAGATCCTATGACAGTACAGGACACATCAGAGGCTCTGAGGACGTGAATGAATGGTTTTCCAAAAGGATGTCCAGGATACAAAAATGGAGCTGCTCTGTCAATCACAAAACAAATCTGAGTGCTACTTATTTCTTCATCTGTATTGAGTCATGAGTAAGAAGACGTTTCAGCTGAGCAGATCCGAGTGTCTTAAAAAGTCACAGTCCTCTATACTTTGAGAGAAGAAAACTGCAAATGTTTAATGTGGATGGAATATGAAGAATCATGATAAAATAACACTTCTTACATTTCCTACTTGAAAAAGAAGAAATAATTTTCCTCAAGAAGATGATCTCTAAGAGCTCTTCACTTAAAATGCACCACTTCTTCCTGGGGAATGGCAATTTATAAACAAAATACCATGAAATGTTTGTGTACTAAAAATGCGAGGAACAGGGTCATCCCAATACACAAGTATATACTAACGACACATTTAGCAAGAGAAAATAGGAAAGAATATAAGATTCACATTGTATCCATTTAAAAGACATTTCTTAATACAAAATATCTCAACTTCTCATGCTACTGCAATCTTTGAGTTAAATTGGATCTTGAGAGGTCACAGAGGAGTTATCTATGTCACATGGGGGTGGAAGAGGAGAGGCTGTATTGGAGTCAACTTTGAAAATAAACATATGAATGAGCACAATTTGTAAAAAAGTACCAGTTAACAAGTCTTCATTTTACCTTACAGTATGACTGTGTATAAAGTCTGTTGCCAAGATACACAATGAAGACAATGCCCTTGACACTGTCCCTGAACTTGCAGGATGTTTTTTTCTCTTTTTAAGAAGTAAAAACAATACAAGAACGTCAATTACAGGCATGAGGGCAAATTCTTCCAGTAAAAAGAACTGAGACAGAAAAAACACTAGTCTGAGCTGATAAGGAAGTGTGAGGCATGGACAGAACCTTCAGTGGTGTTGAGGGTAAGGATGAGTGGCAGCCACAGGGAATGAATTTTCCTAATGAAGGAAAAGCATGTGCAAATCTAACAGGAGAACTATGTGGAAGAGAGTGCAATGGCCTAAGCCCAAAGCATTGTTCCACTTTGGTTTCAGACTCGGCCACCATGGGAAGGAAATTACCAGGGATTAAGTTTTGACATCTCCCAGATCCTTCCCAGGGACTGTCAAGATGCTTTGCACATGCTTAACATCCATGCTGGATAAGCAGCTTCTAACTGAACAACTACATTGTATATTCTATTTGCGAACTTAGCCTTCTTCTGACCACACTGGTTTGGGGGAAAATCAATGAAGAAAAAAATAAAGGATAGTTTTGAAACATTATTTACATAGCATCATTCCTACATAAAATGCATCTGATTCTGTTCACATTTACAAATACTACTCAGCGTTTGTGAGTATATCCTCACAAACTTTATATTCCTCTACACATCATGTTGCTTATGAAACCCAAACAGAAAGCAAGCATTGGGAAGGCGGAAATGCACTGTAATCATCAAGAATGTGGCTTTGGGAATTTGACCAGTAGAAGTCCCAGAACAACACTTACTGATTTAATAATCATAAGCAAATGACCTAGTTTCTCAAAGCCTTAACATATCTTTATTTTAAAGTTTATGTACTTGTTTTGAGAGAGGGAGGGAGGAAGGGAAAGAGAGAGAGAGAGAGAGAGAGAGAGAGAGAATCCAAAGCAGTCTCCAGGCTCTGAGCTATAAGCACAGAACCCAATGTAGGGTTTGAACTCATGAACTGTGCAATCATCACCTGAGCCAAAATGGAGAGTCAGACACCTACCTGTCTGAGCCAACCACACACCACAAAGCCTTAACATATCTTATATGACAATTATAGATCAAGCCAATAAAGTTTGAGGTCAACATGTGTCAGCTGTTGGTATTAACTACTAATTGGCTCTACTGCTGAGTATTGTTCAAGAAATACCTCATAACAATTTATACTCTAAATTTTATTAGCAACATTAAAATTTTATCAATAGAATTGTAATCATTTTGTCACTTTATTAAAATGGGCTTACATAATTTTCTACTATAACAAAACTGATTTTAAGTGTCACATTGGCTGTTGTACTATGCAGGTAAGTTTATCCCTGCACCCCTTATCTCGGAGTTTGTTCATGCAGCAGCCTTTGCAGATCAGCACTCCTACCTTAGTGACATCAATGCCCATGACAGACTTTAGGAATTGTTATTTTAGAGGAAATGAGTATGTTGCAGAAATAAGAAGTAATGAAGGTTGCTACAAAGACCCATCTCATATTGCATCCATTGAAATTTCTTAAATGTCAAGTCTGGATGTTTCTCTGTTAATAAACATTTCTATTTTTCTGAAGAATTTGGATATTGGCTTCAATTTGACCTTTGTAATAGAAAAGCATATAGCTTTCAGGACTTGACAATAATAGCAACTTCTGGAACTTCAACACAGATTTCTTACAATCCTCATTTTGACACCATAATATGTAGGATATTCTTGCCCAGTGGAAAGACAACAATTTCAGCTGCCAAAACAAAGTATGTCTCCCCTTCCCATCAGCCCTGCATGTCGCTTCTGTTCCCGGGTCCTCTGAAGAAAACATGTATGTCATGTATCCCATATTTTGTCAGAAAATCCCAGTCACATACACCACACCTTCTGACAATAAATCCATCAGTTCTCACATGTTACAGCACTAAATAGGCAAAAATGAAATTTTAATTATAATATAGCAAAATCACATGATTTTTTTACTCCATCATGTTAACCCACAGGACTGCCTCAAGAAGTGTGCAAGAATTTCTTCTCACAGTTGTGAAGTAGGATTTATAACTGTGGAATTTTTTATTTCTATAAACTGTAATTATTGTTAATATACTGAGAATAAACAAAAATTATTATTTGTAGACTTTTCTCAATCTGTACCCAACAAGTTATCTTTATGTCACTTCCTACTACAAATTGTCACAAGATTTCCCCTTAGTTAACCTTGACTTCATCAGCAACATCTGGTTAAAAAACAAACAAAAAAAAGTTACTAATTACAGACATTAATGTATTTTCTTATTTTCTTTTTGGGTTTATACTGTTAATCTCTCTTAGAAAAAAGTTTGCTAGCCTTTATTTTATTTTTTATTTTTTATTCAGTTTACTTATTTTAAGAATGAGAGACAGAGAGAAAGAGAGAGCAGGGGAGGGGCAGAGAGACAGAATCCCAAGCAGGCTCTGCACTGTCAGCAGAGAGCCTGATGCGGGGCTCAAACTCACAAACCATGATATCATGACCTGACCTGAAACCAAGAGTCAGATGCTTAACCAACTGAGCCACCCAGGTGCCCTGAAATAGCTCACCTTTAAACAATTCCATTCAATTTATAGAGCAGCATCTTCTGACTTTTTTCTTAGACACTCACAACAGACCTATGCATGTATTTGTTATTACTGTGGGAAATGTGTGATTCAGAACATTGTCTTGGAGTGGTCATGTGACTGGTCTAAGACCATATGGCCTCCAAATTCCACAGCCAGGACTCCAATCAGGATTGGCATAGTTTGGATGCTGTACTTTTCCCATTCCACCATTCTCCCTCCTGCACACAGGCAATACTGGAGAGTCATAAAATGTGTAAAATAGCCTTTTCCTAGGTAATTAAGCATGAATCCATCACCAAACACTAAGAACTACGAAGAATTTAAGAGCACGCTAAGTTTTTATTCATCTCTACAGGCCTTAGACCTTACTTTGTTTCAAGTTACAAAGTGATCACAGGGCAACTGGCACCAAAGTCTTCCAGTAAAGCAGCAAAACCTGAATCATTCAGAAGCCCTTATGATCCTGGCATGGAATATGGCGACCAATATATCCAAGCAGTGTTAACAGACTTTTACAATCTCAGGTTCATCATCTGGTACATTTGGATATGAACCTGATAGCTTCCGGAATTTTCAGCTATCATAGTAGTATCATTCATTACTTTATAACCCCCAAAATGGTCTGGAAGTCCAGTCCCATGGAACTATCCTGTGTCTTTTTTAACATTAACAACCAAGACTGGGGCTGATGACTACATCAGGTGCAAAGAGCCAATGTCCTTGTTGATGCTGAATGGATCATCCCAGAGAAGCCATGAGTAGTTTGTATCTTTTATTTATCATGATCCGGGGCTCAGAAATTCCCCCACAATATAGATTCTATACTCTTCACTAAAATATAAATAGACCACATGGGTTTAGCTTCAAGAAAACTATGTTTACTTGGATACTAAGTCAGCCTATAAAACAAGACCATGAGCTAGTTTCTTGAGGATAAAGATTATAAGTGGAAAAAAATAATTAGGGGAATATATTGAGATAAAATTTCATCTCTTCAGAAGAGACCTTGTTGTAGCTGAGACCTAAGTTATGCTACCAAGTCTAAATCTTTCATTGTTTTTTTGTAAAATGTTTATTTATTTTTGAGACAGAGACAGAGTATGAGCAGGGGAAGACCAGAGAGAGAAGGAGACACAGAATCTGGAGCAGGCATAGAGCCCGATGCAGGGCTCAAACTCACAAGCCATGAGATCGTGACCTGAGACAAAGTCACAGATGCTTAACTGACTGAGCCACCCAGGTGTCCCTAAATCTTTTCGTTGTGAAGGAGTCTTCAAACGTGTCCTCTCATCTAAAATCTTTCAATAAAAAAATCTATATGGGTCTACATGTCATATAGATCTGAATTTAAAGCAGAATTTTCTAATTTCCCAGTTTGAGAAAGTTGCCTAACAACACTGGATATCAACTTTCCATCTGAAAAGGAGAATAAGCATTTGTGGTTTTCAATATTATTGCATTTATCATACTTAGCACATGGAAAAAATTGAAAGTGAAATTTAGGCTGTGATTTCAAATATGAAAATACTGTATTGCTGTGATGCCTTGATTTGTGGTATCCTCAGACTACTAGAACTATGATCTTCATTTTCATTTTCTCCTAAATCTGTAAAATAAAGAGTTTTTACAGTTTGTAGGCAGTTGACTAATCCACCTAAAAGTTGTCCAGCCCTGAGAAAATGTGATTTTCATGTATAAGCTTTGGAGATCCTCTCTTTAAAAAAAAAAAAGAAAAGAAGAAGTTTATTTATTTATTTTGAGAAGGAGAATGAAGAGGGACAGCACAAGCGAGCGAGGAGCAGAGAGAGAGGGAAAAAGAGAGACTCCCAAGCAGGCTTAGAACTATGAGCACAGAACCCAACTCAGGGCTCATTCTCAGGGCTCATGAACCATGAGATCATGACCTGAGCCAAAATCAAGAGTCAGATGCTTAACTGACTGAGCCACCAGGCACTCAAGGTTTGGGAGTTCCTCTCTTCATCTCTCAAGGGGTGTTGCAACCTGTGGCTAATCCCCAAATGCCCCTCAGCTTGTGTGCCCTTGTGAGGCTGGGAAGACCCAAAGGGCTGGGTAATGCAGACATGTCACCACTGCCAAGGCTGGATGAAGAGAGCATCTTCACCTATGATGGATGATGGTCTGCCCACAAATAGACGGTGAAATCCTAAGTGCCCTCCAGACTCCACACATTTCACAATAATCTTTTAAAATAATTGCTGCCACTTGACTAATGCCCTCAGAAAACGATAAGGCTGTCGATTTATTCTCTAGCTTTTAAAATTCCATCACCCGTTTCCCTGTGGTAACAGACTGTAATATCTTAAGTTTCCAAAGACAGGAAGTTACATTTGCATTATATATTACATTAACATTTTCCTCACTTCCTCAGTTAATATTTTAGAGAGTAAGTATAGACTTTTAGTTCATTTTAATGTAGCTAGTGATTAATTATTCTCTATCTCATTGGAACTTTTTTCTTAGCAAAATGGATGTCAGTGTTGAAGGCAGTCCAGTAGGGTAGACAATTTTACACGCATTTGCCACAAATTATCTTCTGTATAACTTACTTTAAAAATAGAACTACTATTTTCCTAAAATTTTGAGGTTGCATGTTTTTTTTTCAAAATCAAATTTTAGCTTACTTTTTAAGTTTATCACTTGAGCACTTGATACAGGCTTTTAAATTTTCTTAATGTTTATTCAGTTTTGAGAGAAAGAGAGAAACAGAGTATAAATGGCAGAGGGACAGAGAGAAACACACAGAATCGGAAGCAGGCTCCAGGCTCTGAGCTGTCAGCACAGAGCCCGATGTGGGGCTCAAACTCACGAACCATGAGATTGTGATCTGAGCTGAAGTTGGACATTTAATTGAATGAGTCACCCAGGTGCCCCCAGGCTTTTTTACTGTATAGATAGAATGGCTATTTGATTGTTTTATAGGAGTACCTTATATTACAACTATATGAAGTTCAACAACACAAAACTATTACACAGAAACTTTAACATTTCCATTATTTTTTTTTCTTTTATCAGCCATTCAAGAATAAAGCTAGCAAGACATAGTAGGAATAATCTTTGTTAAAGTAATAGCTCTCTATCTGGCTTTTCTTTTCTTTTCTTTTCTTTTTTTTTTTACTACCTTATGTTATGGGATGTCACATGAATAATGAGTGGAGTCCATATGTAACTGGGAAAGTCTGGATTGCCAAAACATTATGTGTCTGAGATTGATTTGTTTCCAAATCTCTGTTCTTTCTCCGTCTTTGTATAGAAAAATAAAAACATATTTTAGCTTAGCATTGGGCCACTCAAACAAAGAAAAAAGCAAGAAAAACAAACAAACAAACAAACACATTCCCTCCACCACCACCACCCCCATTAAGTAGGGTTATATGGTCGTTCTTTGCAGCTAGGTGGGCAAGTACCTAAGGGTTGGCCAAAAAATGTGAGCAGAACAATCATGTGTGACTTTCAGCATAGAAGAGGAGTAGGTCCGTTCTGTGCTCCTCCTGTCCTCATGGGCTGAAATGCAGTATGATGCCTGCATCGTGTACAGCCATCTTGGCCTGTGCAGGGACAGCCAAAGCCATGTTTTGAGAACAGCCAAAGTAATAAGTAAGGAACTGATCCCTAATGACTAAATTCTTTTCACCAATAGTGAATTTCTTACAATAACATTTTATATATGTAAAAATGAAAGACATTTCTGTATTGTTTAGCCCGTGATATTTTGTGTTTTCAGTCACTTGTAGCTATATATAATCCTGATAGATACAGAAGATAACAAAACACAAACATACTTACACAAAAAAATAATTAAGAAACCCTGAAACCAGGATGCCTGGGTGGCTCAGCCAGTTAAGCATCCAACTCTTGGTTTCAGCCCAGGCCATGATCTCTCAGTTCAGGAGTTAGAGTCCAGTGTCGGGCTCTGTGCTGACAGTGTGGAGCCTGCTTGGGATTCTCTCTCTCCCTCTCTCTCTGCCCCTCTCCTGCTCATTCTCTCTTTGTCTTTCAAAATAAATAAATAAACTTAAAAATATTTTTTAAATATTAAAAAAAAAAGAAAACCTGAAACAATCTGTAAAATCCATGATTTGACTGTATGTATATGTATATGTGTGTGTGTGTGTGTGTATAGTGTATATATATATATATATGTTTATGTGTGTGTGTGTGTATAGTGTATATATGTGTATATGTGTATATTATTTTGAAAGAATAAAATATTGCCATTTCCAACAATATGGATGTATCTAGAGGGTATAATGCTAAGTGAATGCTAAGTGAAATAGTCAGAGAAAGACAACTGCAACATAATTTTACTTCTATGTTGAATTTAAGAAACAAAACAAATGAACAAACAAAGAAAAGGAGACAGAAAAACAGACTCTTAAGTACAGAGAACAAACTGGTGGTCACCAGAGGGCAGGTGTGTGAGAGGATGGGGGAAACAGGTGCTTAAGATTAAAAACAAAGATGGACAGAAGTAGAAATGTATACAATAAACTATAAATAATATAATGAGCTTTTGATAAAAACTCAAAATATGTTACAAAATACATTTTTATATTCTAACATGGATGTTTCTTATTTTATTGTAAAAAAGTTGTGGATCCTTTTTGTGTGTCTCTCACTCTTTTCTCCACACTATTCATCAGTGGGTGGAATTTCTTTACAAGGGGCCTCAGTTATGAATTAGGGTCTCAGTGCATAATACCTCAACATTTAGGTACCTAAATAGATTCATAAATAAATAAATGTGTGTGTGTGTGTGTGTGTGTGTGTTTATGGCTACTCTAACATGAGCCCCAGAAGCAGTGTCCTTTTCATTATGACCGGCATGGGGTCCACTCACAAGGCACTGAGAAGGTCTGCAGTCAAACCAGATACTCACGGTTAGTCCCTCAGCAGTAAGTTGAACAAGGTGGAGCAGCACAGAGATGGAGTCCAGGATCCAAGCAATCATGGACATGGTAACTAATGCACCCTGCTTCTCTGCCTTCTGGTCACATCATCTAGCATAAAAATAAATAGAATATATATCACCAATTACTTTACAATGCAGAGCAGACCAACTGAAAAAAGAGAGGGTACTTAGTTGGAACCTTCAACATCACAGAATAGTTTTAGTTTGCCTTTCGTGATGCACACTTTTTTAGTTTCTGTACATGTTTCATTACAGGGATTTCCCTGTGCCTTACTTTATTGTCTTATCTGTCCCTTTGTGTACAAGACCGCTGTGTGGGTCAGTCGTTTGAATGTCTGACTCCTGGGTGGATCAGTCATTGAATGTCTGCTCAGGTCATGACCCAAGGTTGTGGGATCAACCCCCATGTTGAGCTCTGTGCTGGGCATGGATTCTCTCTCCCTCACTCCCTCCCCTACTCATGCTCATTCTCTCTCTCTCAAAAAAAAAAGCATATTAAATACATGTTGGGTGATGATCATAATAATAAATTAAACTTCATTAAGTAGAGTTTTCTTTCATTGTTACTGTTGCAAAAATCACATTAAGAAGATTCCCATTGCAAAAATAATCATAATTTAATTCACTTCAAAATGGATTGAAGAATAGTTGCCAAAATGGAGAAGGCACTGCATCACCAACTTGAGATGTCACCATCACCACAACCTAATTAAATTTCTAGTATTTATTTTGATACATGGAGAACACTGAAGAAGCATAAAATATCATCCTTACCTCCAAAAAACTTACAGTCATTGGGAATAGAGAAGATATTTATTCACAAAGCCTTCAGATAGCAATATTAGACAATGTTGACATGATACAAGTATGTATCATATAATTGAAACTTACAATAAGTAAACTCAAAGTAAGAAATATTAGAATAGTCTAAATATTAGGTCAAAGTCTTGGGGAGAAAGTGAGATTGTATAGGGAGAAAAGAGATGACCTTCAACACTGGTCCCTAAAAATGCCCATTAATGATCATCAGTGACCATGTCTGCTGGTGGTGTATATCCAAGGAGAGGCTCAAATTTTAAATTTCTTCAACTACACTGTGAAATATGTGAAGACACAAACAATATCTATCTCATTTAGCATTGCAGCTTCAAGACTTTATATACTTTCTGGTACATGGCAAATGTTTTGTATTTCTTGAATGAATAAAAGAAAATATATACACTAATCTCATAAAGGATACTCATACATATACTGCAAATGATTATATTTGGAATAAATGTTAACATTAAGATACAAACTTTGGAGAAGTTCTGCCACTTATCATTTGTATGAGTTTCTCAATTTCTTTGTGCTTCAGTTTCTCATTTGTAGATTGGAGATAATCCTACCTTCCTCACAAGGTTCTTACAGAAACTAACGCTTAGGGAAAGTGCTTAGCATATAGAAGGTGGTATCTAAGTATTAGGTTTTATTATATTTTTATCATTATGGGAGAGAAAGACCTTTCCTTTTTTCACCAGTGGTCCTAAGCTTCAGGGACTGCATGGCATTATTCACACCTAAGCTTTATCCCTGAAATATCTAGTATCTGATTCTGAAAAATATGAAAATATTAGTGTCATTTTTATTCAATGTAGTTAACAAATGCTTATTGTGACTATCACTAACTTCCTTAATCCTGACCTAGAATTTGTATTTTGTTTACTTTCTTTTTAAGCTTGATCACCTAGTTTCTTCCAAGCCAATCCACCTCCTCAATGAGGAAGGTGATGTAGGAAGGTACATATTGGTAAGAAGTAGGAACAAGTGTACAGGCTTCTGTGAGAATGACTGGCACAGGAGTGTAGCCATTAACCCAGCTAAGAGGTGTCCTTCTGTAAATCGGGAATGAGACAGCTACCAAGATCATGTGGAACAGAACATTCACTCTCAGCTTCTCTAATCTATCTTAGATATATGTTCATTTGGGGGAATGTTAAAAGGTTCAAATGCTCATTTCGAATCTTCAGATGTGTTACTGGATAATATGGACTATCAGGCATATCTTCAGTCAGAAGTGAGATAACCAAATAATCCCTACTATCTTGTTTCAAAATAATCATTGCCTCACATAGAGAGTTTACTCTTAAATATACTAGAAAACAATTTGAAATATAATTCCACATAAACTCTTAATATGCACATTGATACCAAATGCAGGTACTAATATCCCTCCCTTTCAATCCATCAACACATTATCTCATGAGTGCACAAATAGTTTGCACCTTAATTTTGTTGAAGTTCTGTTGGATATTGATATAGGAAAAGAAAGGACTAAAGCTAAGAAACTGAAAAGCCTATAAAGCTAACCAAATCAGATAAGCCAGAGATGTCTCACAGGAAAAAAAAAAAAAATATATATATATATATATATATTATAAAATATATATATATATATAATATACATATACTCCTGTGTATTTGAATCCTGAACATTGTAAAGATCATCCATTAGCATTTATTCTCGATGTTACATGGTGACAGGGCACTGATCTCTCCACCACTTCATTAGTTGGAACACATGTGGAGCAAAGAGGAATGCCCTTTTCTCGTGTTCTAGCACACTTTATCCATAAGACTCTAGAATATACTACTCACAGTAAATAATCCTTTAATGACTAAATTAATCATAGGAAAAGTAACAGGAAAACTAGAAAACTTTTTATTCCAAATACATTACCTAAACATAGCAGGTTTTCACTTGTTTATAGAATGGCTGTATGACAGTCAATGAAGCCAGTGCCAAAGAACCACAAAATACAGATATGGATCAGTCAAAAGTTTAAGGAAGCAAAAGCATGTTTGGCAAATCAGTATCCAAGTTAAGAGATGAGAATATGATAAGAGCAGCACTTTATACACATTTCCTCATTGTTATCCTTCCTGACTACCCCATGAACTCATATCCTCATCTGGTCTCAGAGATGAGAACACTGAGCTCTCATTGGGTATGGAGTTGCCCAACCTCAGAGGATACAAAGCTTCAATCACTGTGGTTTACTGGTCAGAACAGCAACAGAGGTAAGAGCAGATGACAAAGTAGACCCAAATTCACAGAGATCAAGTCAATCCTTGAATGATGTCTGAAATAACTGATAAAAATGCCTAATGCCTTTTGTTTCTATAGAACCGACCACAGCTCCCCCAGACTGGACAATGATACTAAATAACAGTAGATTTAAAAACCATGGGGGGGGGGTGCCTGGGTGGGTCAGTTGGTTGAGTGTCCAACTTCAGCTCAGGTCATGATCTCACAGTTCGTGGGTTCAAGCCCTGCATTGGGTTCTGTGCTGGCAGCTCAGAGACTGGAGCCTGTTTGGGATTCTGTGTCTCCCTCTCTCTCTGCCCCTCTCCCACTCATGTTCTGTCTCTGTCTCAAAAAAATAAATAAACTATAAAAAAAACATTGGTAAGTGCATTATTTTAGCAATTTCTTGACTTTGATTGAAACAGAAGCCACTTCCCTCCTGAACAATGTTCAAAGCATCCAAATAAACTGGTGAGGTAAGTGGAATCCCTTTAAAACACAATAGAGCACAATTTATGACAATACTTAGTGCTTTCTTATGAATGTAATAATAACTGATATAGTGGCAAGAAGCACTGTATTGTATTTGTGTTTTATTTTAATCAGCTACCATGTTTTTTATTTGACTTAGTTACCATGTTGAAAAGTGCCATGTTATACTCACAGAGGCAGTACACCTTGGTGGTTAGGATCACAATCAGATGATCTGGATTCTACTACTTGCCAGCTGTGTGTCCCTACAAAATAGCCCTTAAGTTTTCCATATCTCAGTTTCCCCATGTGTAAATGAAGAAAATAATAGTAATTATTCCATAGAATTGTTGAGAGAATTATATAAGTTAACAAATGTAAGGTACTTTGTTTTTTTTTTTATACAAATAGTTTATTGTTAAGTTGGTTTCCATATAACACCCAGTGCTCATCCTCACAAGTGCCCTCCTCCATGCCCATCTCCCCCCGCCCCCCCACACCCATCATTCCTCAGTTTGTTCTCAGCAAATGTAAGGTACTTTGAATAGGATGTAGCATATATTAAGGACTCAGTAAATGTTAGTATTTATCATGATTATTACCTAATCTAAATGTAAGTAAGCTATATTGTGATGGAGTTCTATTCTGTTTCCAAAACATAAATGGATTATCATTAAATAATACAGGCTAGTAAAAAATAGAAGATTCATGCATCCATGACAATGTTCCCAAAGTGGAAGTACATGTCTTCTGCATCTTTGTCTCTCATGTTTTTGCTGTGCAGAAAAGAGAAGGAGGAAGCAGATAGCCGGAAGTTTGCCTCCGTGAGAAATCTGAAAGGTTTAGAGCATTGTCTATATAATGCTTGGTCCCTTGTCCACTTTGTTTATCTGCTTGTTTTCTTGCTGAAATTGAACCCCTGAACCTTCTTTCCAATCATGTTAGGAATAATGCAGGGTACATACTAACCAATTTGTGAGTTCTATCGCGCTTTATTTTGGTGGCATTCACCAAGAAAATGCTCCATTTCTGTTTATCCTGTGTCTTGTTACACAGTCAGAGTCTGAAAGGTTTTGAAGTGCATATTTTCATCTCATCTATTGGACTCATTACACCATAGTTTAACACCCACACTATACTCATTAGTTTACAAAACATCAGAGTTGAAACCGTGCCAGTGACTTAGATGGAAGAAATTTTTCCACCTAGACTAGTTCATGAGCTAGTCTGGCAAATCAATTCATTTCTGTAGCACATATTCATGGTCTCTACAGCCTCCTCATTGGTCACAACTTGTAAGTAAATTTAGTTTAGCTCATTGGCCTTGGCTGATGGGGTTGAAAGCACTTTCACTCAGAATAAACTTCTGTAACACTGGGAGAAGAACATTTACGTAAGACGTAGTTTTATCTAGGGGCGCCTGAGTGGCTTAGTCGGTTAAGCATCCGACTTTCGCTTAGGTCATGATCTCACGGTTCATGGGTTCAAGCCCCGCGTCGGGCTCTGTGCTGACAGCTAGCTCAGAGCCTGGAGCCTGTTTCAGAGTCTGT